AGAATGATTTGTTCAATTAGCTTTGTAGAGATCTAGTAGAGTGCTGTATGAATTGGTAAATGAAGACACAGATTGTAGTGGAAAGCACTTTGAGTATCTTGGTCAGATAGAAATGTGCTATATAAGTACAATCCATTTACCATTTACTCAAGGGTGTCCTTTTCTTCTTCTTGCATTTATATTTTGTATCCAGCATGTATGCATACATACAGGTACTATATGCATGTGCATACTCCACACCTTGTTTCTTGTTGAACATGTATTTTTGTGACAGTGTTAAGAGCGCCACACACTGGCCTTGCATGGGCACAAAACTGGTGTTGTGTCTACGAGGATATATTTTAAAATTATCAAATAAAAAGAATGTTTTGGAAGACAGCATTTCTGTGTGGGCAAAGTCTAACATGCACATCCTGCTGCTGTTCTTTTTCAGACATACAGTAAGCACACAACTAGATCTGTAAGTTATTGTCAACATGTAAGCACTGCAAATTGTATTGAATCAGGCAATAAAAATTACTTTCACTCTGTTACAGATTTTTAAGTGTTTGGGAGCTAGTTCCATTAAAAATCACTGCTGCAAAAAAAAATGGAAGAAGGAAGATTATTTTTGTGCAGATCAAAAAGGATTATTGTAGTAGGAGTAATTCTGTACAGAGTCCAGAACTTGAACTGTTTTTTAATCAAAGAGTGTTGAAAAAAAGACTAAAAAAATGTGTACTGACTTTCTGTCAGCGTCCTGAGGGCACAGACCAGTAGGTGTTTTCTCAGATTTTGTAGCTGCACACAACATGTGTTAATAATTGCAGTACAAGAGGTTTACCAGGCCTTATGACCAGCATTGCTCTTTTGCTGTCTGTGAACCTGCATGTATCATCTGCTTTATTAAAAAGACAAAGTGAGAGACAAAGAAACACTTGGCCATACAAGAGCGGAGCAGATCTAATTTGCAGCTCATGTGGAAGAGCAAAACGTGAATGAATGAAGCGAAAGGACACAGTCTGGACTCTTCATGAAACCTGCTTTATTCTCCAGAAGATATTTTCATTTAAAATGTAAAATAAAATAAAAAATAAACCTTGGTTCAATGAATGTGTTTACTTTTTAGCCTGACAGGTGACAGGTTGCCTGTGGGTTTATAGGGCAGGGTTTCATATTCTAATAAGCAGGTATGTGTTAAGGTGGCGCGGGGAACCCAGATGTTATGAGACCCAGAACGAGGCAGACACAGGGGAAGTACAAAAGAACAGTGTTTATAATGTACAGTGATAAATTAAAGTCCACACGCTGCTTCTCAGCGGCTCCTGGAAAGAGGGACGACAGGTTAATGTTTGTCCAACGGGGAAGACCAGAATGGTTTGTTTAAAGAGCGTCTTGTCCTTACAGTCCAAACCCGAAGGAGGTGAGCTGGTCCTTCAGTCCAGGGAGCGAGCAGCAGAGGGAAATCCAACAAGAGTCCAAGGGGGAACAAGGAAGGCTGGCAACTGGAGGCAAAGAGGCACGAGGGATACCTGACAGGCCGAGGGATCCAGGTCAGGCCACGAGGAGAATCCAAAAACACGAAGGAACCAGGAAACTGGAAAAAAGAGCAAAAGGTGATCAAATTCTTTTCACCTAGACATTTCTAGCCCAACAGTACTATACCATGAGAGGTGATATGCTCCAGCGTTGAATCACACCGGACTGCAGCCTTAAGTAGATGGAGAGGCTCATCAGGCTGATGGCCGCCAGGTGTTGGTAATCAGCGGCCATCAGCAAGGCAGGCTGCAGGCAGTGGGACCCTTACAGTATGATTCTTCATTTAGACTACTTCAATCAAACCTTGTTAGAATGTGAGAAATAATTTGCTTTAACTGTAAGTAATGTTCATGTGTTAAGTTATTTGTTTGTGTTCAAAAGTGTTTATGCTGATTTAGAACTAAAGATTTGTGGGTACGGGCAAAATTAACTTAAGATGCCTGTCATAATTGTGTATATTGTTATATTTTTGTTTTGTTAAAGATGTTTGGAGAGAGGTGTTCTCCTGAAATGTGTGGAGTTGCTGCACCTTCACAACTGTGCACTATTTCCCCTTAATGGCACTGGGAGTTATTTTATGACTGAACTGGAGCAGTGAACTTCCATGGTGAATTAAAAGCTACAATCTCAACCATTTACCATTAACCAAGATTTTTCCTTCAACATATTTACTTACCTGTGTTTCTCTTCAGTCCTCTGGTGAGCACCTGTGAGTCCAAGTGAAATTGTCTCCCCCGTGAAACTCTCTCCTTCCAAGTTTGGTTCTTCATTCTCTGCTCTGGATCAGACTACAGACTTCACCTCTGGTGTATGTCTCATGGTTTCTGTTAGAAAACAAAAATATTTCATCTCAGCACTGCTTCACTCCTCACTGCCTTCCACCCTCTGACATAACTCATTACTGCATTAATATTTACCTCTCTCCAAATCCTGAAAAACAAATCTCCATCCCAGAAACCTTCAAACACTCTCCAAGTAAGATTCACATCATACTTACCATTGTTGTTATTTGGATAAGCAGCTGGATCCACTAACTCTGCTCCTTCCTCTCCAGAGACAAACTCAGTTCCTACTTTGGTTCTCTCGAAACAAGTGTTTGACAAATCACAGAAAACAGTGGTGAGTAATACTTGATATCCAAATGGTGAAATATAAAACATAAACCTGATTGTACCCAAACAATCTCAACACTGCCCAACAGCATGTGATCTCACTGCACATCAACAAGTCACCTCACTGCACATGAACATGTCAAACTGACTGCACATCTGCATATCACAAAACTGCACAGCGACAACTCTGTACTACAGGACTGCTTTGCACACACAGACTGACAGGTCTTCAGAGAGGCTGCTGAAAATGAGGGAGAACTGGATCTGGATTAGTGCACATCTGCTGTACTCAGATACATCAGCAAGTGTGTTGATGCCACTACCACCATACTGTGAAATTTTACCTGAACCAGAAAGCTTGGATGAACGCAGAAGTCTGTACCCTGCTGAAAGCCAGGGATACTGCCTTCATGTCTGGTGACTCACGGGAACTGTGGAGACAAGGAACAAGGAAAGAGACAAGGAAAAAGCTAGCTGCTGGTAATAAGAAAGCCAAAGCAACATATGCACGGAAGATCCAGGGACATTTCTCCTCACAATACTCAAGGAGCATGTGGAGGGGCATTAAGTGCATAACAGACTATAAAAGCAAGGATCCACAATGCCCTAGGGACCTATCACTGCCTGATGCTCTTAACAGGTTCTATGCCTGCTTTGAAGACTCAAATAGACCACCCAGCACCAGACTCACCTCACTACCAGAAGAGAAGTTCCTCAGCATGAACTCAGCAGAAGTAAGGAGAATCTTCATGAGGATTAATCCTCACAAATCAATTGGCCCAGACAACATCCTGGAGAAGGTGCTGAAAGACTGTGCCAATCAGGTCTGTGAGGTACTAGCAGATATCTTTAACTCTTCCTTCACCCTGGCAACTGTTCCCACCTGCCTGAAGATTGCCACCATCATCCCAGTTCCTAAGAGCTCTGCAGTGACTGGACTGAATGACTACCGGCCAGTAGCCCTCACTCCGATAGTCGCTAAATGTTTTGAAAGACTGGTCATGACCCACATCAAAGCAACCATGGACATCAGTGAGGACCCACACCAGTACGCATACCTCAAGAATCGATCAACAGAGAAAGCCATCTCCTCTGTGGTCCACACTGCTCTCACCTATCTGGAGCAGGATTTCTACGTCCATATGCTCTTTGTGGACTTCGCATCTGTCTTCAACACTGTAGGGGTTTTGGGGTTTGTCTTGCCTTTGTTTGTTTCCTCATGTTTACAGTCAGCCCTCCCTCCGTGTGTTTAGCCCTTGTCGCGCCTGTATCTAATGTTAATCACTGCATGTGTATGTAGTTGTCCCAATCAGTGTTGTGTATATATTCACTTCCCTTGTGTCTTGTCTTTGTCTCTGGATTGGCCTTCCATGGTGTCGTGTTCTGCCTTTTGTCCTGTCTGCCATGATCTGCTTGTGTCCTGTTTATCTGTGAGTATGCTGCCCTGTCAGCATTTTGAGTTTTGGTTTTGTGAGAATAAATATTTTTATGTTTCCTCGAGCCTCCTGTCGTCCTCCTGCAATTGAGTTCAACACTCCTGACGGCAGAACGTGACAGAATCTGGAGACCAATTTTGAACCCAGCAAGATGATGATCACTTTGTTGGAGTTTTTGGCCCGTGAGGCAGAGAAGACCGCTCAGCATGACAGAGAAAGGGAGGAGAGAATAAAGAATCTGTTTTGAGGAACCCACCTGGCCATTAAACAAGGGGCCTCAGTCTCTCCGTCTCACTCCTCCTCATCTCGCCCCGCTGCTGCACCCTGCTGCCCACCTCCTCCTCATCCACCTCCTGGTTGTCCTGAACAAGCATCAGAAAGAGTGGGGTGAATCGTTGGTCCTCCCCAAGTCCAGTGCAAAAGGGGGACAGTTTTGCGAGCAGAGGGAAGACCCAGCTCTCAGGTAATGAAGGAACAGCACAGAATTTCGCTGGGGAGGGAGGTACACATATCCGCCAGAGGATCAGCCCAGCTCTTGCTCGCTGAAGGAGCGAGGGGGAAATTTGCTGGGAGAAGAGGTATTCATGCTCCCACTTGCCTGAGGAGCAGCCCTGCCTTCCCTCACCAGAGGAGCTGGAATGGTGTAGGGCTTCTCTGGTGGCAATATATCGAGATCCGCTTCTGCCCTGCCACGAGGAGACCCAGGTGGATGCTCCTCACTCCAGTCCTCCAGAGGGGTTCATGGCTCCATCTCCTGCGGCAGCCCCAGTCCCATCACCTGTTATAGTTTCAGCCCCATCACCTGCTGCAGCTCTGGCCCCATCATCTGCTGCAGCTCTGGACCCATCACCTGCTGCAGATCTGGTCCCCAGCTCTGCAACTGCAGCTCTGGCTCTTACACCTGCTGCAGCCCTGACTCCATCTCTTACTGCAGGTCTGACCCTTGGTTCCCCAGCTGCAGCCCCGGTCCCTGGTTCTCCTACTATAGTCCCGGTCCCTGGTCCACCTGCTGCAGCCCTGGCTCCACCACCAGCTGCAGCCATGGCTCTGTTTCCTCCTGCTGCAGCCCTGCCCTTGGGTTCTCCAGCTGCAGCCCCATCTCTGGTCCCTGTTCCTGGCTCTTTAGCTACAGCCCTGGTCCCTGGTCCACCTGCTGCAGCCCTGACTCTGCCACCACCTGCTGCAGATCTGGTCCCCGGCTCTTCTCCTGAGACCCCCATCTCATCTGAGGTCTTCTCTCCTGGCTCTTCTGCTGAGATCCACTTTACCGCAGAAGATCCTGGCTCTTCGGCTGAGGTCCTCTCACCCAGCTCTTCTGCTGAGATCCACTCTACCGCAGAAGATCCTTGCTCTTCGACTGAGGTCCTCGCTCCCGGCTCTTCTGCTGAGGTCCTCTCTCCCAGCTCTTCTGCTGAGATCCACTCTGCCGCAGAAGATCCTGGCTCTTTGGCTGAGGTTCTCTCTCCTGTCTTTTCGGCTGAGGTCCTCTCTCCCAGCTCTTTGGCTGAGGTCCTCTCTCCCGGCTCTTCGGCTGAGGTCCTCTCTCCTGGCTTTTTGGCTGAGGTCCT